AGGCCAGGAGCCCCTAGCAGCGTCGTTGCTCCAAGTAGCGATGCCAGGAGCCCCTAGTAGCTTCTTGTTCCTAGTGGTAAGGCCAGGAGCCCCTAGTACAGTCCTTGCTCCTAGTAGCGATGCCAGGAGCCCCTAGTAGCTTCCCGTTCCTAGTGGTAAGGCCAGGAGCCCCTGGTAGCGTCCTTGCTCCTAGTAGCGATGCCAGGAGCCCCTAGTAGCTTGTTGTTCCTAGTAGTAAGGCCAGGAGCACCTAGTAGCGTCCTTGCTCCTAGTAGCGATGCCAGGAGCCCCTAGTAGCTTCTTGTTCCTAGTAGTAGGGCCAGGAGCCCCTAGTAGCGTCCTTGCTCCTAGTAGCGATGCCAGGAGCCCCTAGTAGCCAGGAGCCCTAGTAGCTTCTTGTTCCTAGTAGTAAGGCCAGGAGCCCCTAGTAGCGTCCTTGCTCCTAGTAGCGATGCCAGGAGCCCCTAGTAGCTTCTTGTTCCTAGTAGTAAGGCCAGGAGCCCTTAGTAACGTCCTTGCTCCGAGCCGCACAGCCCCAACATTGGTCAGATCAGGTCAAAGGGTTTGTTGGGTCAAAGTTTGGACGCTTGGCCTCTAGCCCAACAATCAACCTCTGTGAAATTTACGATATGTTTGGCATTCTATGAGCGTAAGTCTCCCCTTTTGTTGTGCTATTGTTATACAATCTTCTGTTTCTAGTAGCTTCTTGTTACTAGTATTACGGCCAGGAGCCCCTAGTAGCGTCCTTGCTCCTAGTAGCGATGCCTTTTGCTCCTAGTAGCGATGCCCTTTGCTCCTAGTAGCTTCTTGTTACTGAGGAATGATTTTGGTGGCGATTTTCACAGGAAGGTCGAACATGATCGATCTTCTCCCCATCAATTGACAGGGAAAGTGGCCGCTGGATTGCAGCCGAGTAGCAAAGGCCAAATAAGCCACACCCAACAAGAACAACACGAGAACCACCCATTTCTGCAAAGAGTATTTCCCGAAGGCACCTGCACCTCAAGCTTTGACGCAGCTGCGTTGACTTGCATGATGGTCCAATGGCACTGTGTGGGTTGTTCATTGTTCTCGTGACGACGCCATAATATTCACAATCGTAGTGAATAAAAAACAAACATCAACAAAAAACAATGAGACAGTGAAATGAACTGCGGAATCCAGTTTCTCCCACCAAAAACACAAAACAACAAAAGGTCATCATGGCAAGGGACGATCACTGACGAAAAGCTCGTCGTCCTGCGGCGGTCGGACGGAGGCTCTGCACCGAATGGAGCAACGCTGTTTCATCTGCTGTGATCAAACACGCCCAACCGCATCCTGCCATGCTGCTCAATGCTGTTCATGCACAGGATGAGTGCCGTGCTCCAACAAGAGCCATCAAGGGTTTTGACCCTCACTGACCCTCACACTGACCCTGAAGGAGGTTGATTTTCTTGGAATTCGGCAACCGTATGGTACTACTTGGGTGTACGTATGCCATTCAAAGGTTCCTCATTATCATTAAATGCTCAGATGTTCTTGATGTTCCTAAATTCTTAAATGTTCAGCAAACCTCATCAGGTTGTAGGCCATTGGTGTCGACATGTCCGACAACATGTCCTCTTCCTTTCGACTCTGTGGCCGCTTGGACTTGGCCGCGGGCACTTGACGCCCACGAGGTGCAGGAGGAGTCTTCTTGACAACCTGTGCCCGGGTTGGTCGATGAAATCATCATTGAAACTCACTCAATTGACTAATTCTCCATGCCATAAGTGAAAGAGCTTTTATAATCGGGTGTGTATGAATCAAGAGGCTACATATGGCTACATTACTGGCTACATTGTACTCCACTATCCACCATCCAATTCTGCCCATCATCCGATCGCATCAGCTCCAATGAGTTTCTCGTCCCTGTCCCTCTTATTGCTTGCAAGCTCCAATGTTTTTTCCAGGCGGTCGCGGTGGTCGCAGAATCGCATGTGGAAGCGATCCAACGCTGTACCATGCTGTGCCCAGATACATGTTTTCGGACGTTTCTCAGCTCCATTTCCCATGCCCCATCCTCCTGGCCTTCTTCTTTCGCTTCTTGGCATCAGACCTCGTCTCGAGGGGAGCTTCGTCCCGCGCATGCAAAACCTTGGCGTCTTCGCCCTCCAGATCCTCCGTCTCATCAGAGTCCTCATCTTCCACCTCCGGAGCCTCGAAGATCGCCCGATCCTCTCTGGCCCCCTCAGGGGGCGGGCGAAGCGACTGGATCGCTGCGACTGGAGCAGCATCTTTGAATTCAACATCCTTCTCTTGCTCCTTCTCCTCCTTCTCTTGCTCCTCCTCCTCCTTCTCTTGCTCCTCCTCCTCCTTCTCTTGCTCCTCCTCCTTCTCCTTCTCCACCTTCTCCTCTTTGTCCCCCTTCTCTTGCTCCTCCATGTCCGTATCATTCTGGTCATCTTCGCTGACATCCTAGCGAGGTCTTTCGGAACAAAAGGCATCATGTCTGGGTCGCGGGGGACACTCCATTGACCTTGTGGAGGGGGATCATGTGCATCGACCGCGTGTCGTGTGGTCTCACGAGTGGAACGGCTTCCGTTGACGTGGCCCCCATTCCATCCCATGACCCTCCACTCTCCACGTGAAGTTCTTGAGGAAAGCTTCTGGAAGCTTCTCAAAAACCTCGGGCTCTGATTGGTCCTCCTCCGTCTCCTTGCAAGCGCGGGCTCTGAATTGGAACGCCCTCATGGAGCCATCGATGAGTTACAACGATGCTGGCTCATGATTGAACCACTCAAACATACTCAAACCTTCTGCTGTAAAGAACTTCAAGCGGCAAATCATGCATGACCGGTTTTCTCCTTGTGAGAAGAAACGTGGTGTGGTCCACTGGCTGTGCTACCAGCTGATGAGGTTGCAGCTCTTGGACTTTGTGGCTGCCATTTTTCCCATAGGCTGGCCTCAACACAACATGACACATGACATCACCTCTCATGTGGCTGTTTTCTCCGTTGATCGCATCATGAAAAATGGTGAGCTGGTGTTCGCAAACCTTGAAGTGATCTATCCTTGAACCGGCCTGATTGGCCTACGACGTCTCTGTGTTCCTTCTGACGTGATAGGCCTATGTTGGGCACGTCTCTGTCACACGTTGCTACCGTTGCCGGATGACAGTGTGACACTTGTTTGGTCATCGGCGGATTCACGAGGCATGGCTTCTCTACGTTTTTCGACACCAGCAGCACAAACCAAGGGGCAAAACTGATTGAACCGAATGTAAAGCATCCTGGATGTTCTCAACATGGCGCAACACAACCAAACAACGCCAATCTGTCTTTCTTCAAGATTTGTTCCACGGCTTCAATATCTTCAATCTAGAAAAGAACATGTTTCGTTTCTGAATGACAAGTTGCCATCTCCAGATCTGTAAGTGCCCGTTCCAGGCCAGGTGGAGGTCGAAAACTGTCAGCACCCGCTGCTGAAGTTGAAGGGACGCCGTTCTGGTCGCTGATCACCTCAAAAGTCAGAGAAAACGTTGAATTCGAGCTGACGATGCCCACGTACTTAATCCAAGGAAGTTCAGTTTCGAGAAGCTCCTGTGTTCGGCGGTGAAACGAGTCTGTGGGGATTGGCGTCGCCAATCGGCCGGCGTCTGTGGCAGTCTGAAAAACTCGTCCAACAGGTGATGTTTTCATGGTGAACTGAGTTGGACTCAGTGGGCTGAGTTGGACTTAGTCGATGGGAGTCCAGCTTTCTCCCTCGAGACAGCGGCCAAGGCCAAAGAGCTAAGACTAGAGCGACTAGAGCTTGCAAAGAGACATTGAGACGTCTCGAAAGGTGCCACAGTCGGTCTTGGAGCAAGGCACCAAAGATGAGTGAATATGCGGCCAGTTCATAGCACTACACTGGGTTTCACAACACAAATCACCACGGTACAGGAGCTTCCTGCGCCCCCAAGCACTGCTGAACACTGCAAGATCACCCTATCCCCCGAACCTCCAGCCGCCACCGCCAGGAACGCCCCCCCACACGGCTCCCGTGCCGTCATGGGCGCAGCATCATTCAGCTTCCGGCCCCAACGGCGCCGAACATTCACGCTCTCCTCCTGGCCAACCTGAAGAAGAACGTCACTGGTGGCTCTGGGCGCAACCGAGAGCAACATCCAAATGGTGCGTTACACAACACATGTCACACATTTTTCGGGAGTAAAGAAACAAGCGGTCGACCAGGCTAACTAAGCAAGGTCAACCATGTTGCTTTTTCTCGCAACACGTTTGAAATAAGTGCAGGCTTGAAACCATTGGCAAAATTGGCTCCTCTTGCTTCCGAAGGTGAGCCGGGCCTTCTAGTCCTTGGATGCGAATGATCAAGCAAAAATTTTTGAAGGGATCCAGAAAGGGTCCTCTCTTCTGTGCTGGACCGTTTCGATAATATGGGCCAGAATATGGTGAGCAGCAGAGCCTGCAACAAGATGAAAGGAGATTTGCCATGATTTATATAGAATGACGATGCCTGCAGGGGCTTGTCTCAAGTCTGCGTGTCTGCATCCCAGGATCCTGGGGGCCATTCAAGTAGTTCTGGCAACTCGTCTTCAGGAGTCATGGCTTGCGAAGGACGCACCCCTCTATGGGGAAGACTCTGCAGGCCACTGGTCACACGGCCAAACACCGGACCAATGAAAACACAACAGCAATTGAAAGAATCCGGTGCACGAAAGTGGGTCGAGCACGAAAGTGGACTTGATATTTAGACGATGGCTTGAGATAGATCTTTAGCCCACCGAGGCTTCGATGATCTCTAGACTCTAGACTCTAAACTGATCTTCAAAGATTGTCGAAGTTGGTAGCCTGTTCAATGCCCTGCGATCCAAGATGTGGCCACCATCCAAGGAGTCGCAGTTGAAAGAAAGCACCTCTTCAACTCCGGCGTTGCAACGGTTGGTTTTGATGGCCCACATCCCAAAGACCATCTCAAGAAGTTGTGAGAAGCAGCGTGATGAAATTCAATCAGGATGAACTGCTGAGGTTCCCTACGGGGACTCCCAAGTTCTTCTTCAAAGCAATGTACCTTGAAGATTCTGCAGTTGCTTCAACATCAAACCCAACTCAGAGCTTCGGTCAACGAGCTACATCAACATGCTCATGACTTCAAGTCTAGAGACTAGACTTAAGTGACTAGACAGATCAAGGCATGTCCGGGTCTGCAAACTACACCCCGAGGCAGTGTGAGAAATACGGACGATATTCGGCCTATTTGCATGATGTTGCCTCGAAAGCTGTCGGCCAGAATTCTTCAAACGTTCCACCAAACCAAGGTCTCACGCGTGGAGCACTCACTGCGTGCCACGCGTGTCGATGCCACGCGGTGCCGACCATCTGAGGATCTCTGAGGCCCTCGACAGCAGTGTTCCTGCGACCATCTTGGACACACGGAGGCGGAGAGCCTCATCGGTGCGTGACCCAGTCAGGCGCCACCCCTTCGACCCTTCGAGGCGACTCGAGTCGCCCTAAAAGCCCGATAAAGGGCTGATTCTGCCCAAATCTGATTGGAGATTTTTGGAGACTTGAATGCTCTATCTATGAAAAGTCTCCCAAGGTCTGGGAAGCGAGACTACCGCTTGCGACGAGCATCGTGCGTCACTGAGCATCGTGCCGGCGGATCTTGGAAGTCTGTATACCTTGACGACTTGACTCGATTCAAAGTATACCGTACCATGTTGAAATGATCCTGGTACATTGATCCTGGAAGTCTGTATGCCATTGATGTTCAGTACCTTGACGTCAGTTGAATGACCATCCCAAAATGCCGCCAGCCATGGTTTGTTTGATGTGCTGCTGTGTGGATGCATCACTTCACGGGCATTCCGATGCTTGGGTGATGTATCGACCAAAGACACGCCCCTCCTCGAAGAACGAAGCTGGTACGGAACATCGACCCGTCGACCAGTCTACCCAGCCGACACCACTCGAAGCCCCTCAAGGCCGAACGTAGCGTCCGATCGCTCCGGACTCGTAGCGATGCCGCCCCTAGCAGTAGCGTCCGATCGCTCCCCAAAATGCCCCACATGCCAAAACACATGACCATTCGCTGCCCTAAGGATCATTGGACCCTCCTATGGAGGGTGTTGACCCTGCATAGCAGGATATAGCAGGGGTTTGGACCCTCAAAACCTTCACCTTTGAGGGTCCTTGATCCTTAGGGTGCAGCTTCTGGCCAAGTCGCACCACCTCATCACCTGGCCAAGTCGCAGTGAACGACGCTTCAGTCTGAGTTTGACACGGACGACCGGCGGATCAAACCTCTCGGAAACAATGCCAGGACCCCCGAAACAATGTCAGGCTCAAAAGCTTTCATGGCTGCCCTTTCATGGCCAACACCCCTTTCGTCAACAAAGCCAACTTCATTACTCAACCAAAGCCCAACACAGCCAACACATCAAGCAAATATGAAACTCACTCATCACGCCCGTCTCTTTTTCCAAGACCCCAGTGCACCAGTCCAGATTCGCAACAAAATGCGCTACACGCACGGCACCGCCCCATGGCTAGGCACAAACCGTTTCAAACCCCACCGTTCCAGCCCTACCAAACACCATGCGGTTCCACGGCGCTCAGTCGTCCACCTCCGGAAGGCCTAAGCGGTCCTCAGGGCCCTCAGCGGCCACAGCTCCTCCCAAGATGCCAGCAGAGTCCTTCTCCATCATGATGCAAAACTCATCGAAACTGATCTCGCCGTTGGAATCAAGGTCGACATCTGCAACCATCCTCGAAGACTGAAGACTGTTTCGACTGAAGATCTACCTGTTTATTTTGACGGACAAAGGTGCCGATTGTCTCAAACACTTGGATTTGAGAAAATTTGAAGCTACAAGGTCAGGTTGGCTGATGATGATGATGATGATGATAGAAAGCGAAGCTCCAACCTGTGTGCGCAGGCACCATCTGGATTCCAAGTCTCACAGTCGCCCGAGCCAGCTAGCTTGCTTGGTTCGAAGTCCCCCGCAACCATGCCTCCGACTTCGATATAATAATTGAAAGCTAGGTGGCATTTCCACATAGGCCATGTTATCTTCCTCCTTCAAAATGCGCGCGAGCTCATCCTTCGTGATCACGCCATCTCCGTTGGTGTCGAACACCCGGAAGGCGGCCCACATCACTTCACGCCTGTGTCGGAAGCGGTCGTCATCCCACACGCCCGAAACGATGCGGTCATGTGTGTGTAACCCTTGGAGTCACAGGGAACCCTCGGGTTTGGAGCAGGGGGGCTGGTTGTTCATGCAAGTACCAGCCCAACGAAGAGGCTTGCATTGAACACTGATATCGGTGGGGACGCCCACCGACGTACCTGCTTCAATTTTTAAGTTTCCGCAATGCATTCTGCAGACTTGCACGTTCCGCCGTCACTCTGTCGTCTCGACCTCGACTTGCGATTTTGGCCCCACTTCCTTTTGAAGACCCCCAGGCTCCGGTGGTTCTTACTTGTACTCTTGGGAAATGGTACCCTAGGCCGGCGTGTGGCACCGCTGTCAGTTCCGTACGCATATCTATATAAGTGTGTCTCTCCTAGCGAGAGCCCGGGGTGAGCCCGTCGAACGGGCGTTAGTCCTCGTCCCTGCGCCCGGGACCAGAGCAGCTCGCAGCGAGCGTAGGTGGCCTAGGCCGAGAGGACTCAGATTTTGATCAATATGGGGATTCCAAGTTGGCTCATGCCTCTACGTGACCGCAGCGGTCAAAGGTGGCAGCCTTCGGGCAAGCCGTACGTGGTCGCAGCGACCAAAGCTTGTTCAAGGTTCAATTGGAACCTGTCGAGAACTTAGCCCCACTTCCTCCCCCTTCCCACCCCTCCCTTCCTTCTTTGCCTTCTGGGGTTTTCCTGAATGGAATACTCAGGGTCACCCCTCTCTCACTGGTGTGTCCCTGGACGTTTGTTTGTAGCTGGGAACACCTGCCTTTTTCCTTCCTCTTTTCTCCCTCTCTCTCTCTCTCTTTCTCTCTTTCTTTCCTCTCTTCACCCTCCTTCTTCCTTGGGTGTCCGTGGATGCTTTCGTCATAGCTGGGAGTCCTTCCTTTTTGGTGTGTCCTTGGACGCTTGTGTCGTAGCTGGGCGCACCTTTGCTTCCTTCTTTCTCTTCTTTTCTTTTCTTCCTCCCCCTCTCCCCTCTCCCCTCGCGCGCGGCATGTTTACAAGCAAACTAGGCTTCTGCAACAGGTTTCTCAATGAGGTTTGGACTGTCATCGGTTTGTCCCCTTTCATCGGCCCCCACAGACGTCTTCCCTTCTTGTCTTTCATGTCCTTCCGTCTTCATGCCTCTTCATCCTCATCCTTTCTTTCTCTTGCGCGCACTTTCGTCCGGGCCTTAGTTTGTACACATACACGCACGCGTATTCTACTTACAACGAGGTTCAGGTGGCCAGGTTTGATACAATGAGGTTTGGTTCATCGGTTGTCCCTCTTCACTTGGTTCTTCTTCATCGGCAACCACACACACACTTTTCGTCTGTCTCGTCTCTTTCATTTTCAGCTGTCTCTTTTGCGCGCACATTTGCTTTGCCTCCTTTCCAGGCCGGATGGAGGCCACACATGCCTCCCTTCGGGGAGGCGTGTGTGTGTAACCCTTGGAATCACAGGACCCCTCAGGTTTGGAGCAGAGGGGCTGGTTGTTCATGCAAGTACCGGCCCAACGAAAAGGCTTGCATTGAACACTGATATGCTGGGGACGCTCAACGACGTACCTGCTTCAATGTATAAGTTTCCGCAATGCATTCTGCAGACTTGCACGTTCCGCCGTCACTCTGTCGTCTCGACCTTGACTTGCGATTTTGGCCCCACTTCCGTTTGAAGACCCCCAGGCTCCGGTGGTTCTTATTTGTACTCTTAGGAAATGGTACCCTAGGCAGGCCGGCGTGTGGCACCGCTGTCAGTTCCGTATGCATATCTATAAGTCTATAGGTGTGTCTCTCCTAGCGAGAGCCCGGGATGAGCCGCAGAATGCCTCCCGTGGACCCGTCGAATGGGTGTTAGTCCTCGTCCCTGCGCCCGGGACCAGAGCAGCTCGCAGCGAGCGTAGGTGGCCTAGGCCGAGAGGACTCAGATTTTGTTCAAAATGGGAATTCCAAGTTGGCTCATGCCTCTACGTGACCGCAGCGGTCAAAGGTGGCAGCCTTCGGGCAAGCCGTACGTTGTCGCAGCGACCAAAGCTTGTTCAAGGTTCAATTGGAACCTGTCGAGAACTTAGCCCCCCTTCCTCCCCCTTCCCTTCCCTCCCTTCCTTCTTTGCCTTCTGGGGTTTTCCTGAATGGAATACTCAGGGTCACCCCTCTCTCTCACTGGTGTGTCCCTGGGCGTTTGTTCGTAGCTGGGAACACCTGCCTTTTTCCTTCCTCTTTTCTCCCTCTCTCTCCGTCTCTCTTTCTCTCTTTCTTTCCTCTCTTCACCTTCCTTCTTCCTTGGGTGTCCCTGGATGCTTTCGTCATAGCTGGGAGCCCTTCCTTTTTGGTGTGTCCTTGGACGCTTGTGTCGTAGCTGGGCGCACCTTTGCTTCCTTCTTTCTCTTCTTTTCTTTTCTTCCTCCCCCTCCCCCCTCTCCCCTCGCGCGCGGCATGTTTACAAGCAAACTAGGCTTCTGCAACAGGTTTCTCAATGAGGTTTGGACTGTCATCGGTTTGTCCCCTTTCATCGGCCCCCACAGACGTCTTCCCTTCTTGTCTTTCATGTCCTTCCGTCTTCATGCCTCTTCATCCTCATCCTTTCTTTCTCTTGCGCGCACTTTCGTCCGGGCCTTAGTTTGTACACATACACGCACGCGTATTCTACTTACAACGAGGCTTAGGTGGCCAGGTTTGTTACAATGAGGTTTGGTTCATCGGTTGTCCCTCTTCACTTGGTTCTTCTTCATCGGCAACCACACACATACTTTTCGTCTGTCTCGTCTCTTTCATTTTCAGCTGTCTCTTTTGCGTGCACGTGTGCCTTGCCTCCTTTCCGGGCAGGATGGAGGCCACACATGCCTCCCTTCGGGGAGGCGTGTGTGTGTAACCCTTGGAGTCACAGGGAACCCTCGGGTTTGGAGCAGGGGGGGCTGGTTGTTCATGCAAGTACCAGCCCAACGAAGAGGCTTGCATTGAACACTGATATCGGTGGGGACGCTCACCGACGTATCTACTTCAATTTTTAAGTTTCCGCAATGCATTCTGCAGACTTGCACGTTCCGCCGTCACTCTGTCGTCTCGACCTCGACTTGCGATTTTGGCCCCACTTCCTTTTGAAGACCCCCAGGCTCCGGTGGTTCTTATTTGTACTCTTAGGAAATGGTACCCTAGGCAGGCCGGCGTGTGGCACCGCTGTCAGTTCCGTATGCATATCTATAAGTGTGTGTCACATGTGTGTGTGTGTGTGTGTGTCACATGAGTCATCAATGCCATGTCGCTCACACCCGACAGAAAGAGAGACCCTTCATCCACGAGAGACTTTCGTCAAACTGAGGACTGCTCAGTCCTCCGAAAAGGACTATTGTCCATGGGGGGCCCATGTCTGGGAATGCTTGCAACTCTGTCCAGTTGAACACTTTGCCTCCAATCTTTTGGACATGAGATCCCCATGAAAAACACAATATATATATATATAGCCGTTATATAACCCATTTGCTCAAAGACCGGACCTGTATGCCCTGAATCCGAATCAATGCCAGCCATCCACACAAGCCGCTATATTAAAAATCATTTAAAATCAAACACAATCTGCGTCGTGCAACCTTATCCCATAAGGAAAGACACTCAGCTCATTCATGTCATACTCACTGATATAATTATTCATGGAAGTGAAACATGTCTCCTGGTGGTTTTCCCACCCCGCCTCAGGTATTGCTTCTTGGTGAGCGTCGCGGCCATGAACTCGGTATAGTCGATGTTCCCACTGCCGTCGGTGTCCAAGTTCTGCACCTCAACAGGGTTCACTCCAGGACCAGGTCCACCGAACCCGCGCGCGTTGGCGCGCGCGCGCGCGCGCCGCGGGACAAAGGGTGCGGTGTCTGGGAACAACCATGGGGCACTGAGGTGCCAGGTGCCCAGTGAAGGTTTCTCCCCCAGAAAAGCGCGGGACATCTGCCGAAGAAGTCCAAACAATGCTTAGCATAGCGCACATCTCACTTTTTGGGAACCAAAACAGGGCAGGGAGAACTGGCAAAAAGAAATTGATTTCAGGCAGTGCTGTAGCTGACGATTTGAACGATGTCGTCGGGCAAGTCTGCTTTGGCCATCTTCAAGCCGGTCTGAATCTCTTCCAAGCTCCTCGGGTTGATGTCTGGTGCCCGATTCTTGAACCCCAAACCCCCAATTGATACAGTAGTGGCACGGTTTCCAAAAGATGTTGAGCGGGGATCTGCTTTTCTATCTTTTTGGTGGTTTATACATTCTTGCACAGTTTGATGTGTGTCACGTAATGATCGACCCAAAAATTTGCGGAATCGCGGAGGACTTGTTTCCATCTGTTCGATCATGTCCGAGGCTCAAGGTTCCATCTCGGTTCTTGTCCAGTTGTATGAAGGTATCTCGGAGCTCTTTAAGGTCATCGTCTTTCAGCTGCTGCGCGATCAGTGTCAACGCCACCTGATGAGGACAGCTGGCTGGTCTACTTCGTCTGTAAAACACATGGGACAACAGGTCCGCGTCAGGAGAGGTCATGGGCGGTACCTGTGTGTGTGTGTCTGTGTGTGTGTGTCTGTGTGTGTGCCTCGTGTTGCCTTGTCTCTTAAAGGAACCAGGTAACTGACTGGTAGCTACTGCATGGCAACTTGGTAACTATAGGCCACTGTCCTCAATTCCGGCCTTCTTCATCCTGGAGTTACTCTGAAATCGCTTGAGCTTGTGGCCCAAGTCTTTGGCCACTCGACCGACCACAGCAGTGGCCGATGCAGTCAGCCACTTGTGTGTCAGAAGGTCTCCAGCGCTGGGCCTCAGTCGAGACGTTCCGAGCCCCGCTTTGGGAAATAGACCAGAGCCATCCAAAACCCAGTGGGGAGGGTCTCCATCTGCATCTAAATGCATACACGTTGCACACACAGTTGCACAACTCTTGGCCAGTGGAACAAGTGCAGAACTGTCGTTTTACAGGAAGCCTTCATAAGCCTTCTCAGAAGGGCCACCGACAAGGGCCCTTGTCGGTTTACCGATGGAAAACCTATAAAGAACCGACATCAGAATCGAGGTGTGTCTAACCTGCGAAGAACCGACCTCGAGTCGAACCTGCCTGGTCTTGGGATCATAGGTGAGCATCAGCTTGATGAAATCGATGGCATCGCTGCTCACATCGGACCAGTCGGCGGGATCGAACTTCACGGCGCCTTTCTTCACCATGGCGAGGATATCTTTGTCCTTCTCACCGTAGAAGGGCGGATAGCCACAAAGCAAAATGTAGCAAATCACGCCACAGCTCCAAATGTCACCTCAGCAACCCGCGTCGGTGGATCCAAATGCGGCCAGTGGATCGACCCGGACGCCCGACCCCGTTCTTCTCACGGTTCATGCCCGAAATCCAAACGATCACGCCCATGAGGTGGTAACAAGGGCCTTGTTCGGTGATTGCTTTCGGGTGACACTTCTCATCGTAGGCCCCTGCCAGCACCTGTGGTGCTACGTAGTAAGGTGTCCCCGCACGGGTCTTCATGCTGGCACCCGAGCCCGGGACATAGTTCTTGGCAAGTCCAAAGTCGATCACCTCGCAGAAGGTTTTTGGACCTTCTAAACCATGACACAGCTCGTGAAGGCCCCGTGCCATGTGCGATGGCCCCCCACTGAAAAATGGCACGCTGAATAATTCATCACAGCAGGCAAAAAACCTTCCCTCATCTTCCCTCATCTAAATTGAATACCATTGAATACAGCTTCCCTCATTGGCCTAATGTCTGCACAGCACAACTGCGCAGCAAAACCATGCAAAACCACCCTGCTGGTCTTCGCAGCTTGCCTTGATCTCAGCATTAGCCTCCTTGTTTTGCATAAGGAAGTTCTCAGGCTTGATATCCTTAACACATTGAATCACAATGAATCCCTCCACTGCCTACAGCGGAGACTCATTCAACTGCCACTGTGACATGCAACCTGGGAATGAGTTTAGCTACTCGAAGACCAGTCTTCAAACTAATTGCATCATATTGCATCCAATCATGCAAAGGCGATTCATGCATGTTATGTCAATCTTCACGAAAAAAGATAACAGGTACTCTACAACATTTTGGTGTCATTGTGGTAGCAATTATATAAAGTTTTTGAATAAATGATGCACACGAATGCGCATTTCATGCCGGAAATGGTTGTGGGATGCTGTAGGGATTCTGTGCATTGGGAGGCATGTACGTTCACGTCCAAGACGATATCATTCCGGGGACCACGACCTGCTCAAGCTTGTGAAGGGAGCATGTCTAGCCCCGCCTCTGTCACACCCTCCCTCACCCTCATCCTCATCCTCAACCCACTAGCGATGGCATCCAACCTACTAGTGATGGCCTCTCAAACAAAAGAATCAAACCAAAATAGCGTCCGATCGCTCCGTTCGTAGCGGTGCCCTTTGTTCCGTTTGTCGCAAACCTTGCTAGTAGTAAGGCCAGGAGCCCCGTTCGAAACTCACGAACTGACGCGTCCAAGTCTCCCGATGGACGAAATTGTTCTTGTGAAGATAGCTCATGGCTCCTAGGATCTGTTGCATGTAGGTGGCCGCCCCACGCTCGTCGAAGGCTCGTGCCCCGTCGTGCTTCTCAGACTCGGCCACCTGAAGTTTCCGACGCGTCAATTGGGGACAGCGGCGGCTCGGAAGGACCACTGGGCCATGCATTTGGGGCTTGATTGGGCCCAGAATCATTCAGAGTGCATGTTCAGAATGGTCACATATGGTCACACGCGAGCTCCAGAAGATTTCAGTAAGCTTGTGGAAATGCAGTGACTGGCAGTGACTCTGGACACCATTGGCTTCCCCAAACCGATCGAACCCCAAACCCAGAAACCCAAAACATGAACCGAATCGGTGTCCTTTGCAACACCAGGACATGCCAGGATGCAATCCGTTCGAAGAGCTCACCGCCGGTGCAGAGCTCCATGACGAGGTAGAAGCGCTTCGCATCTTGAAACACCTCCCGGCCACGCCGCGTGTTCGGCCACGTGCATGTTTGTGATACATCTACAAGCACCCCAGCACCACCCAGGAGGTTCCTGATTGCATGGACAATATATGAAAATACCTCTTAGGGGGGTCTTTAAACCAATTCTTGCGTGGGTGCTGGTCTATGCCGTAGTATTCCCTCCCCTCCCCCTGATCCAAGAGCTCGGTCGAGCTCGGTCGAGCGCACCGGTGAGGTGAGCGCCGCGGTGAGGTTCGCGCCTCGTAAAGCTTCACGATATTCGGGTGGTCCAGGGACGATTGAATATCCACCTGATCGCTTTTTTTGCGCGGACGGATCGTTCGGTGATCCTTCGGTGCCGGCCAAAGACGGATGTTCTGGGGCGATCACATGGCGATCAGTCGAGAACAAGGGGAGCAGTTTCGACTCAAGTGTGGCTCTCTTCTTTTTCATGTTTCCTCAAGGTTGATGCTTCAATTCAAAGACACCTCAGTCCAAACACATATAATATGCCAAAATGACTTCACTAACTGAAATAAAACCTTCCACTGAACCTTAATAGTTCTACAAACTTGCGATCCAAAAAGGCTTCGCAACCGCTTTCATGACCTTTCCCAGCCTCCACTTGAAATCGAGCAGGATCAGAGATTTTGTGTCTGTTGATGGCCTTGATTGCCCGAACAGCACCTGTGTCCTTATGTGTCCCCTTGGTCACTTGGCCGTAGGAACCTTCACCTGCAAGTGAGAGCACACGATCACAGCATGGCCCGTATACACATCATGCTGATAGCTTCATTGAAACCATTTGAAACCCAGCAGCTCAGTCACAGATTTTCTCAACACCACGTCTCCATGTTTGCATAGTGTTAGTGTTAGTGTGCTGTGTTTCGGCATCTGCGGCATACTCCGACGCCCCTTGGCCCACGGAAAAGCACAACGGCTGCCCCCACGGAAAAGCACAACGGCTGCCTAGTGGTTTCTTGTCCACGCTGTAGATTTCATCTAACTTCCCCGGGTTTTCCGCGCAAAACGTGTGGGAGAAGGTGGTGGTGGTGGCTGAGACCAACTTGGGCGCCATGGCGGTCGACCGGCGCTTCCGGGTTCACGACACGAATGAAGGTTGATCACTGATACTGAGGGGTCGGACTCGGTCTTGATCATGTCCTGTGCTCTGTTGGCTCGGGCTGTGCTCGCTTGGTGTGGCAGGGAATTCCCTCAACTGACAGGCCCCTGCTGATCTTCCTGGGCGAGCCAGGCTGCGGGGCTAGATGCGGCGTACGGCGCGACCGGTCGTGGCAGGCTGCCTGGAATCCGGTCGTGCAAAGACATGAAAATCAGACCTAACGTGTTGTGGCACAAGGCCGGCACGCTCTGCCAACAAGCAGTTTCGTGAGGCCTTGTGCAGCAGCCATTGGCTCTGCCTCTGGTGATTCCTCCTCCTGAATGGACAAATTCAGCTGAGAAGACTTGACTGTCTGAACTGACACCACTAGCCGTGCCTGTTGCGCCGTGCTGGGCAAGAGCTCCAAGACATGTTGCAAGATTCGCAAGGCTCGATGGGCGTGTAGCTTCTGCGCCTGGGTGCCGAGTGCGACTTAACAAGGTGCCATGGGAACAAAAAACACAAATTACAGTGGTTTCAGAGTAATTAGATGGCACAAACCCCAAAAGGTTATATTTATATGAGGCATATAGAGGCCCATCTAAAAGACATCTTCTAAAAAACCTCGTGGGGGCGCCAGAAAGCCCTAAAAATGCCCTAAAACGTAAAAAGGTGCCCTATCTTAGGCGCCAGGGAGTCCACATCATCGAAGCTGTCAGACATGCGTCTCTAGACGTCTCTGGCGCTTGAAGGCCACACGTCCCACATCCGGTCTCGGAGGGCCGGTCCTCACAGGCTTCCTTGAGCATCAGGTAAATGATGGGCCTCGGATGTGAATTCTGAGCCGAGGCCGTGAGCAGTTTCAGTTGACTTTCAGCTGAAGCAGCTGAAATGGGCCTTTCAAACGAAATCTTTTCTCTTTCCCCAAGTGTAGTAACAAAATCTCTCCGTCGCATCAGCATGAAGTGAAGGAATCCACAGCAAAATCAGGGCGATTCAAGCTTGAGGCGTAACACCAATCCCACAGCAGCACCGATGGCGCCAAATTGATAAGGCTCCCCCAAAAATGCCCAAACCCACTTCCCTTCACTCAACCCGGTTGCCAAGCAGCTGGGACATCCTCACCAACAGCTGCTTTCCAGGTACCCGGGAGCTTAACACGACATGCTGTAGCCAGCCTCAGCAAACCCTCAGGATACGTCTAGTTGTAGTGTCCCCGCCTGGTCTGCTGATACAGCATATTAAGCTGTTGCTTGCTTCATGGCTATATGTTTCATTTCTCCAGGCTGTTTCCACATTGTTTCCACATTCGTCATTTGGTTGAGCTATGTCCCATTTTAGGGAGTGGCTGCTGCCGGGGAGTTGGCAATTGCGCCCACCGTTTTCAAGATTGGACATCTCCTGCTTCAAACTGGCCGACGAAGTCTTGAGGTGAAGACGACCAACGGGATGAGATGTAGATGTCGGTCTTGCAGCGGAAGACGTTTCTCACGAGCCTTCTCAGACTAAACAAGCTCGTCATGTCCGATGATTGGGGCCCGAAACGTGCATCACCCGACCCAGCCGCTGTGACCCACGAGGCTTCCCACGCAGTCCAGCCGCACAGCCCAGCCGTGTTCGCTGCAAACGCATCTGGGATCAATGGGTGATCATCGGTGTGTGGAAATGCAGGGATCTCTTATGTGTTACGACTATTGCGTATATTTCAAGAAGTGGGAATGGCTTCCAGACTGGCAAGCCAGCGCATCCCACACTTATGCACATGGCACATTGTCACATTGACATCAGAGTGTTCCCTTCACATGCGGTGACGTCCAGCACTTTCCTGCTGCTCTGTGGCTCCCCACCATGCCGGCCACTTGTCGAAGCCAGGAAGCTTGAGGATGGTGAGCGACCACATAGCAGGACTGGTCGGTCCACATCGGGTGCTACAAGTGGATCAACTTCAAACTGGGGAATGCATTTTTCATACCAGGACCCTCCTGTCGGGGTGTCCAATGGACTACCCCACACTACCATCCTAGGCTTCCAAACAGGGCACCCCGACAGGAGGGTCCTGGTAGAGGGACCCCACTAGGGACCTCTTTCTCGCCCTGGCTGGGTCCACCCCCACGACCTCGGACGGTTCCGGGTGTCGGGGAGACCGCTGTCTGTGTCGGTTTCCACCCATCAATAATGGACACATGATGTTCATTGATGCTCGATGTTCAATGTGAGACACAGAATTGTTCGAAAAAAAAGGATTGCAGTGGCTCTCTCTCTCTCTCTGGGCATCTTAGGGGCATACCTTGCTCACTGCCCAGATGTTCCAGTGAGGTCACGAGCACATCTACATAGCATCAGCATGAATGATGCCTCTTGATCCACTGTGTGGGTCCCTTTTTGTCAAAGATCAAAGACATTGACTCGATCCAAGAACACCGCTATATTTGGCAAGGAGCCCCGAACGTAGCGTCCGATCGCTCCAATCACCTGGCCCAAAGCTCGATCTCCACCGAAGGTAAGGCCTCCAACTCCGCTGTGGTCACCTGGACGGCCTCACGATCCCACGAAACAACTGCAGGCAGTGGACGTTGGCTGTGCAATGCTTTCACCATGACCAGGGGTCAGGGAATGGCGACCTCATGGACGTTGTCATGGCGACCTCATATGAAATCCGAAAAGCACGGACCAGCGGGAAGACATCCATCCTGACATCTAGGATGCCGGGCCTCTTCAGCATCTAGCCGGGCTTTGGTATTCTTGGCATCTAGGATGCCTGGGCTGGGCGCCATGGCAGAACATTTGACCACATCACAAAACTGCCTCCCAAAAACACAAGGCTGTGGGTCAAAACATGTCAACACCAGGATACTGACTGGTTGACCTACCTGGAAGGTCATTCGCCGGGTTCCAAGTTTTCATCCATCTCCATAACAGAAGAACATCAATCAACCTCGACTGCAAACTTCACAACGTATTACGGCCTGGGCCGGTCAGTCTCCTTGTCAGCCGGTTTAGCTCTCTCTCCCTCCCTCCTTCCCCCTCTCTGTCAGTAGTCAGTCTGTGCATGTTTTGCCCTCACTGCCAACGTACACGAAACAAGACACGGAACATGTCACACCGGGCACCAATGGATTTTTTTGGATTTTTAAGGACGTGAAAGAAGGCTCACGACGTCTCTTTCCTGTCATATTGCGGTTCCTTCGCTCAAACGTCTCAGTTGGCAGCTAACAACCTGGTAGATCTGACGAGCTATGTCGGGTAGATCTCTCCGTCCACAGCCCTGAGATCCCAATCCATCATGGCAGGACAATGCCAGCACCCGGGCCTGAGCAACAGGTTTTCACGGCTTTTGGGAGCACGACTGGGCATCAAACAGAGCCGAACCGCAGCGTGGGCCTTCTTCTCTACGTCTCCGGCTCCGACACGCGCCGTTTCGCGGCGGCGAAAGGCTCCCTGACATAGGCGTGGCGCTCCGGCTCCGAAAGCTCCGCCAGTTGTGCATCGAAGGGGTCGACCTGATCCCGGACGACCACGGGGAGAACCGAGAACCGGGAGAACCTCGGCGGGAGAACCTCGGCGGAAGCCTTTTTACAGTAACAAGCCCAAGTTACTAAGCCTTAAAAACAAGCCTCGGTAAACAAATGGCTCGAAGACAGTTAAATGACTCGAAAACAACCTATGAATCCGCATCTCCTTATGGCTCTCTCGTATACGTTGTTTGGTTTTTGTGTTCGTTCGCAGCACTTCGATGCGAATTTCAGGTTGTTTCACCACAGGCACGGCCCAGCATAGTCATCTCTGCTGCCCACACGCCCCTTGGCCCGGAACGAAACGGGTCAACAGCGCCTCGAAGAAGACAGGACCTCGAGGCGAAGACGGCAGAGTTGGGTGCATCGGATGGGATCCTTCTTCAGCAACCGGGGCCTAAACCGGGTTGGTCAACCTGACCTGCCGTGGCAGTCCACCGTCCACCGTCTCCCGGGTGCATGATATGATGAAGGAGCTGGAGAGTTGGATGGTACAATCGCCCTGAGGCGCCCTGGTTCTTGCGGACCTTCTCAAGATATAACATGATATAACACTTATCAGTAACAGCGGATGATGATGGTTACTTTGCAGGCCGACATCTCTATAGAACTATATAGTGATTTGCTAGTGAAACCCGACTGTTACAGGTAAGAACGGACAAGCCCAACGTATAACCATTTAGCACCGAAGAAAGACCTGGACTCTCCTCCAAGTGGCTTCTCAATGATTCCAAGATTCCCCGCACGCCTGTGGGCAAGGGCAAGGCGAAGTGGCGGCGAAGCCCGGACCGAGGGATGGGTGAATTGCACCAAACCCACTCTGGACCAACACCCCTTTTTCCGGCAACCGGAAAGTATGCGAGAGAGTGCCGAATTGTGCGGCACAGCAATTCGAACATCAAGACACACGAACGATGCCTTCAAGGAATGCGCAACAAATGCAAATTCAAAAGCAAATGAACTGACGCCTTTTGTTGGATCGGGGAGCTCACCTGGAAGGCACCCACAAGCACACAGCGAGGCAAAGATTCCAGTGTGCGTCTTCGATACAAAGGCTCAAAGCAGTGAAGAGTGCTCACACTCCCTGGACTAATTAATCATGAAGTGGAATCGGACTGCGACCTGGTAGCCATGGCCTCCAAATGAATAGCAAAAGGAACCTAATATAGGAATGGCCTCCACCCTATTAGCGGTGGCCTCCAACCTAATAGCGATGGCTTCGGCCTCCAACCTAATAGCGATGGCCTCCAACCTAGTAACCTAGTAGCGATGGCCTCCAACTAGCGATGGTCTTTTCTTCCTTTCCGGACTAATCATGATCCTTTCGTAACGATTGTATGCAAAACGGTGTGCGTGGGTGCGCATGCTCAGTTCCACGTGCAGCTCAGAACTTCTCCGGCATATATGGGCATCTATGAGCTATGGGTACCCATTTTATCGCAGGGGTGCCAATGTACCGCTCAACGATTGCCCGTCCTCCAGCTTCACTCTCACCACGCTGCAACTCACTTGGATTCGGCATGCCCCAAATACTCGCAGTCCTGTCATGTTACTTCGGAGACTTCATGTTGCTACCCCGCACTACCCAACCTAGCTCACAAGGCGCTCTCCGGCGAACGCAGCGATCACGTTTTTACACAGTTAATCCCCCGCAATGTCAATTCACTAATGTAGCCATCTGCAGTCGCATAGCCCTCACCTGCATTCAAATGCTCTGCAATCAGGTGCTCTCAGCTAAACAGTCCTCTCAGTCACAGTCTTCTCCTGACCCGCCTGCCAAGACATGGTATGTTTGCTTCATGATGACCAAGTAAGTGGATCGTGCGAAAGCCAGTTGCAGCTTTAGACCTCCTGCCGAGTCATTTGGATGTACTGTCAAGCAAAAGCTCTTCAGCTCGCGCGTCGCGCGCCTGTGGGTTGGACATCCATGATGCTCGATCTTGATCAGAGGCCGCCTTCAGACTCAGTTCTAATGATTCTAATGTTGCGATTCAAGGGCCCCCCCCTGAATCCGATTGAGCAAATGACCATGCATCCAAGCATCTGCCAACTTGAAGCAACCATTTGAGACTCAACTTGCCCTGTGTGTTTCGCGTCCACCCCCCAAGAGAATGTCTCAGCTAGCAATCGGGGTAGCAGTCGAGCTGTGTCTAGAGAAACCCTCTGTGAATCTGAACTCCAAACTCACACCTTGTCATACAGAATCCAACACATCTAAATAAACTTTGCATATGATTGATTCATTATATAATATATGATTTTCAAATAGTAATATGATATGATAAAATCAGTGTACACTGGGACTCGGACCATGTCAATGTTGTCGTTTGTACCAAAAGGACTTCACTATAAACCGACAGTTTCTGTCACCATAGCTGAAGGAGGGTCTATGAAGATCAAGCAACCTGAAAAACTACCTGTGACACATCCCGACACCATAATTAGAAGGGGCACGTCAAGTGTCAAAAACAACCACACGGAAAGTAAAGGGTCATGATTAATAATGATCAATTCGAAGTTCCGACTGGGTGGCCATTCACCGATTGCACGAATTCTAGGTCAACCGACCCCAGACTCAAACCTCCTCAACTGCCACAACGAATTCTACGTCTACGTATGTCAGGTTGTTGCCAACCAAAGAATACACAAACAACTACACCTGGGAAAATTAACATGGAACCTGAAAATGGACCTTTGGAATACTATTTTCCTCTACAACCCAGTGGTTGTCAGGTTCCATGTTAATTTTCCCGGGTGTATCCCGTCTCGTCCGATTTCCTAGCCTCGCTTTGACTTTGGTCCTCTCCCGCTTCACCTTCCACCTGTCAACGGCCGTCAGGTACGCCGTGGTTGCACAGGAGCTCATAAATATCGGACACGGATGCATTTTTGGATGCAAAACCTTCCAGCCAGTTAGGATTCGCCTTTGGCACTCAGATCAACCCACTTGGCCATTCCATGGCACCAGCCGTGCCCCTGACACAAATTGTATTTCTTGCTTTCTGATGAGACTGGTCCCTCCGACATCCTCCAACACTGCTGGAAGTCTATTCAGCTCTCTGTTTCCAGGCCATTGTTCGATCAAAGTCGCAAACTTGTTTGCGAGTGGAGTTCGGTTCGAATAATCTTAAGAGTTTTTTTGCAGTAACTGAATTATTCCTTTGAGCAAGTCTTGTGCTTGATTCTTCGCATGTCCCTATGTTTAACATCTGTTGTGGTGCCAACTCCAATTCAAAGACCTTATCCAAACAGCAAAGCTCTTGGACCAACACTGATCCAATAAAAAGAAGGTACACATTGGCCTGATTTTCCAGCTATCCACCTACAGTGCCCGAGACCCACCTCTTTCCCTTTGAGCACTGTCTGTGGAGCAGTCTGCGGGTGCTTCTTCTCCGCCTACACGGAACATATTCAAAGCATTCAGCAGCCGCCGTACAATCGATGAACAGTCGCGTGAAAACTCATTGAGCTCGGAGCCCCGTTCGTAGCGAAGCTTGTTACTAGTAGCGTTCTTCCTCCGTTCGTAGTACGGCCAGGAGCCCCGAACGTCGCGTCCGATCGCTCCGTTCGTAGCGATGCCAGGAGCCCCTAGTAGCTTCTTGCTCCTATATTGTGTGTTGTCTGACTGAGTATAGTTACTATTCCATCCATCCACTCATGCTGGTAGTTTTGGTTTTCGTGCTTGTGGGCATCTATGCTGTCACGCATCCCTGCAAAACAGCACGTCTGCCCAACCTCGGTTTGTTCAGCGGCCATCTCTGCTGAGGGCGTTGCTGCGGAGCGAGCCTCTCCTCCACCGTCACATGTGGCGGAGCATATTCCATGCAACTCAAAGAGTGTAAGCTCGAAAAAACAGGCCTCTATCCTTTGGTCTTCTTGGATAGAACGTCCCAGATCCCCAAATGACAGAACTCCACTGGGGCAAAAATCTCGATGACGCGCCTGCCCAACTGTCGGCTTCCGAGGCGACCTGAGCAACTCCACTATAATCATTTAGTTATCAACACCGTTCTCCAATTATGCATTCTGATCTCCAATCTGCCTTCTTTAATTCTTTTGCAGCATAGGACCTCTCCCTCGCGTCTAAGACCTCTAACTTCCTCTAAATCTGGTGGTAACTTCCTCTGTGATGGGTCACCTTCGTCACCATGCTGAGTCATAGGAGACGCTGTGAGCCCTTTCGTCCGTCACCGATATGCTAAGTCGCTATGGCCTCTTCGCGAAACCATGGGCCGAAAAAACGGTGCCTGCGAAAGCACCCCATGAGCTAGATTCAGGCTAAGTTCACATATTGGCAGCCTGATGACTCCTTGGAAACGGCAAGTGCCTGACCCCCCCTCCGTCCCCCACCGTCCCTCGCCCCGTTGAACCTCCCCGGCCTCGGTCGCGGAACCGTCGCTCCCCGGCGAGCGCTCGCGGGACCGCGCGGTGGACCGCGCGGTCGCCCGCGCGGTCGCCCGCGCGGTCCGCGACCGGTCCACCTGGTGGGATCCGAAGCTCCAAAACGGACCGAGCTTAGGACCTACTCTAGGAGCTCGATATAGGGCATAGTATGGCATAGTTCTGTAAGATGAGTTCTTATAATATACAACTAAAGTTACTAAAGTGAAGATCAATTTTAAAGGAATGTAGATCTTGCAGTCATCTCCTTCATTGTGCCAGGATTTGTTCTAACAACTTGAAGAACGTGTCTTTGCATGGACTCCCCGGACCGGGAGGACAGGTCCGAAAGGCCAGGCGCCTTAGCGACGTTCGGGCTCTTCTTGTGACTAGTAATGCCAGGAGATGCCAGGAGCTATAGATACGTTCGTAGCGATGCCATTGTTACGTTCGTAGCTTCTTGCATGCCGATGGGTTGCCCCCGAGAGAATCCACGTTCGTAGCTTTTGCGACTGGCGTCTGGCGCTGGTTGTGAGGGCAACGTTTGAAGGACGACCAGCACAACCAGCACACATCTTCCAAGAATCAAACAACATCAAACAACCAAACATCGGTATACATTTCCGGGAGAACCTTCGCCACGGTTGGGGCATTGTTACAGAACACTGCTGGTTCGTACCACACCTACCGGACAGCAACCGAACTGAATCCCAATGATTCCCAATAGTGATCAAAAGTCAGGAACTCGTTGCAGCTGCTTACCTTTCTTGCGTCCATGTCTACGTGACTGTCTACGTGTTGCCACCCCGTTTTTCGTTTCCTTGCCGATGGACACAGCTGGGGACGGTTCAGCACCAAACGGTGTGTGTGTGTGTGCAATATATGTACCACAAGGATGTCTTCAGGCATCGCCTGTGTGCTGCGGCCATTCCCTTCCTCCTGTGCAGGTGCCTGCCAGGTGCACGTCGTCGCAAAAGAAGAATCCATCAGGTCCCAGGGGCCACCGGGGCCAGGAATCCTCGTGTTATGGTGTCTGGTGCCTATTTTTGCATGGCAACCGCAAAGTGCGGTGAACATGCTTGGTGCAGCTCTGCACAACAATATGAGTGTCTTTGGGCGACGATTTCCGATACTTGAACTTTAATTATCTCTTTAATCATTCAACTTACTCACTCATTCCGTCCGCCTTCGGCGCCCGCGGAGCTTTGTCCATCTTCTTGCTTTTCGACTCAGGCTCCTGCAAAACATCTTTGAACCAAGAAGCAAGGTGTGATAAACAAAAGTGGTTCGGGAAGTGGTGCCGGGAGCTGTGCCTGGAGGAACGTGGGCGCTGTGCCGAGTACGCAACGTGACAGTTGTGCGAACTCTTGGGCGGCACTGGTCGTTGGAGGAAAACGACCAGTGTGACCCCCTTACAACCCAAAAAACGTCTCTTTCAGCAGAGTCTCATTGTTGACCTGGTGCTGAAGAATGGCCAGGGGATGCCAGAAACATGTTTCAAAGACCCAGCCCACAGGTGTGTTGGTTCCAATTCTTCCAATGTGTCGTCCATGTGCGTCACTGGTGGCATCGTGGAAAGGGCAACATGTCCGCCTTGCAGTCGACCAGGTCTTCAATCAAGCGATGCAGTTTCACCACCTTGGCAACATGGTGACTTGATTATCGACTTGAAACACCATGGGTCATGCTAATAACAAAAATTGAGGAACACAAAGGGCAATAGGCTCTTGAAGGCTCTCAAACATACGTCCAAACACATCTTGAACCGGAGCCACTTGCTTCAGAGCACAAAGTGCTCAAGATGGATCGCATATGATGAGCAAGATCCGAACTGCAGTCTACACTCCGACTCACTAACATGGAACAAAGAAAATGTCTTCCAAGGGGCCATATTCCACTTCCATGTTAGTTGTTAGTGAGCCAAAGTGTTGTCATTCATGATGGTCCCTAACTGCCCTAACTGTCGCTCGCCCCATGCAAGCATTTAACGCCGGTTCGCGGTACCCAGTCCCCAGGCATCAGTAGCCACAAAGCGAGGAGAGCTGCCAAAGCGGCACCTGGGCTAATTGGTGGCAACAGCTGATCAATCCTCATTCTTCCTGGGATTCGGGTGTGCTTCAAACGGCCAAGATGGGCCAAATGCCCCACTGATCGGGATTTGATGCGAATCGAGTCCCCGTGGCCTTTCTGGGCGGAGCTGAGCAGGTGCGGTCGTTTTCCACAAGGCCAAGGTCGCCAAGGTTGCCACGCCCGGCTACACGCAGGGGTACTCAGGATCGAACATGGAGTGCAGAAGCGCGGAAAGGTCGGGATATTTTCCAACCTGCGGGACATCGAGCCCGAGCAAGCGGGCTGAGCAGTCTGAGCAGTCTGCATGGCTGACATCTTGTGCAATTTGCATGGATGAAGACATCTTCAAGCAAACTCGTGACACCTTTCCTAGGATTCCAGCAGGACTCAGGCGCAAGTCCATGCGTAAAACCTCCGAGCGGGGGGGCAACCAACAACTGGGGCACCCAGTGGCTCAATTGATTTGTGATGCGTACTGAACTGAGCTGCTAAGGTCCCTGCCATGTTGTCGGTCTTGTTTTGCAGCTGCGTCAACACCTGCAACTGCTCAGCAAAGGCAAATCAAAAGCATGGCGGCCACGCTTTCTTGTTGTAGGCCGCCGGCGGCCTAGCTCTCACCTTTTCTTTGCAGTCTAACTCTTGCAGATCTGTCCGGCAGGGGTGGACCATTTTCGAACATGCGAAAACCAGGAGGAAAGTTCCCCAGCCCGCAGCTCGAGGGGCCGCGTAAGACGGCTGTACCGCTTGCAAGCACATCTAGGCATTCCCCAAAAAAAAACACGGTCCCAACAGCTGCCCTGCCACCAACAGCTGTGACCTGGCTGATGCACTGCAAAGGTCTGCGGTGCACAGGCACCATGCCTCAGCGTCCACCAGCGTTGGGTCTATCCCATTACCAGAAACCGTGGATGATGATGGTGTGTAAAGGCCTTTCTCAAAAAGCATCATCATTGTCTGCCGACTGTTACAGGTATGAATAGGACAAACCCAACAGAATGCTTGCTGGGACCTAGCCGGACTGGCAGACTTGAATTCAAAGTCAAGGAACTTGCCGACTTGCTTTGTAAAACTGCAACCACCCTCCGGTTCTCCGCCCAACTTGCAGCTGAAGCAACGAATCAGCTCCCGGAGAATGCCCTGCGAGTACCTGGGAAGGATGGATCTATCAGGCGGCTGGCGAACATGTGTTCATTGGGAAGTGAGGGCAACTACTGGGTCACAAGGACCTATAGTGGTTTCAGAGTCGATGGCACTGGCAGCCCAAGATGTCCTTTAGATGGGGGGTCCATATAAACATATATAAACCACCGACCTTGGGGATTGTGCCATCTACTCTGAAACCACTGTAATGGAACTGTTGACCTTTGGACTTGCACGGCCTTCTTTCATAGGACACAAATCAAGGCCGTTGACAGCTGTGCGGACTGCTGTGCCGTTAGCTGTTTTCACTGCGTGCTCCGGTACCTGTCCCAATGTCTGTTCTGGGCAGAACACCCAAGCTCCAGGCACATAGGTGTGGCGACCATAGCAGCTGAACTTGCAGAAGTTCTCAACAGCTTGCCTAGCGGCTGGAGAGTGGGGAGCCAGCAGTTCAGGACGCGAAGCGACAAGAGATTGCACAACATACGACAACTACTACTACCACAACTCTCATATGAGGGGGGTCTTGTGTGCTTGAGGGTCGCGGTCCATATGCTCTGCGAGATTCATGACACTTCTACAAGTCCTGAGATTTTTGCCTGGTCAAAGTATCATCCGTGCGGGCCACACTGAAAATGGCGAGCAAAAGGTGCTGCACATGGCGGCAGAACCTGCCGGATCGCAACAAGCCAGCTAACTTGCTCATGACACACACCAGTGTGTGACATGAGTGGTGCTAGTGACCTAGTGGGTCTGTGGACATGGTGGAGGCACATCATGCAGCCAGACACGATGACTGGATTGCACCAAATAAAACAGCGTCTGGCAAATCCGAAGAATCCATGGGTGGTTTTTCCTGGATAATCCGACGACCGTCTTTTGGTTCTTTCGTGTTCCTTCAAACCAATGTGTGAAATTCCCCACGTGGTGGTGTACAGAATATGCCATGTGATATTTACTGGATCTCTTTTTTGTTCTCTCTGCCTCTCCCCCTCTCTTTCTCTCTTTCTCGCGCTCTCCATCCAAAAAAGAGGTCAGAGGTTAGTAGAAGACGAGCTATTCATTTGATCAATCAAATGAGTTCTGACGGTCATTGTGGGAAGTATCACGGTCCTTGTTTTCATCGAGTTCGGACGACGCCTAAACGATGCTTCCCACAGGCTGGCTAGCAGCGAGTCAACTTCCCAGTGGCTGGAAGATGCGCCAAACACAACGAGCTCGTTTGCACCAAAGAGAACTTCCCAATTGGCTGCCCCAAATTGGGCAACACATGGGCTGCCTCATTCTCTTTTGGTGCTTCAAGCTTCAGGTGAAGGCATGCTACCCCAGGACTTCCTTCGATCGGACCTACTCCTCTGACCCACCACCTTCCTTCCCGCCAGTCTTGGACCCCACAGGCGGAAGGTTTCGGAGGTGGAGGGTTCACGCAAGAGCTCATCCTTGTAGGAAGGGTCCTCGCGGGCGGCCCTCACTATGTCACTATGTGCGCGGTTGTTCATGTTTGCGAGGCGTTTGTGTGAAGGTGCATGAGGATGTATGACGATTATGCGTCGCCTAAGAGCCTTGCTCTGAATGAGCCATATATTATATGGCCCAGAAGGCCAAGTAATTCAGCAGATCTATTCAGATAGTATCTGAATCTACTACCATGGCACACGCCGCAAACACATCCTCGGCCGAGATCCCCCCCATACTTCTGCAACGTGTTTCTTCTAACATGCCGCATGCACAGCTTCAACTTCATCTATCATGCGTCACCATAGATCACCTCTCAATCACCTCCGAACGTGTCGACGTCCAAGTTAAGGGATTTGAGAATCTGTGCCGTGAACATCTGTGGGCACAGAGGAACCCCTACAGATTCGCCCATCACTCCACCATCACCGACAAGAGATGTGAGAAGCAAGATTTCCGACAATGAAATTAAATACATAACTTATTTGTTGTCGTTTTCTTAATGCTTTCGTCCCTGTACTAATTCTGGTCGCCCCCCCCCTTCCAGAACACGAGACAACACGTCACCTCCGAGATCTGGTGGGTCACGCCCGAGAGAAACGTGGAGGATCGCCCTGACAGGATCGCCGAGATCGGTCGCCGTGGGACCGAGATCAGTCGGTTCGACACCCCGACAGCTTGACCTAGCAGCGGGGCGAAAAAACACATGGACACCCTTGACCTGTGGTGCTGGTGTGTGTGTGTGTGAAATAATGTATATTACATATATATATATTATACAGTAACATGCACACTACACCCTCAAGAAATGATCAAAACATATTGATTCGGAACCTCTGCACTGGCGGCCAGCCTCGGCTTTCCCTCCTGAGCTCATACACCACCTGGCGCCACTCCTGGAAAATGGTCCGCTGCAGAATCCGCATCCAAGAACTTCTGCGGTAGAACAACACGCCCCAACAAATGAACCGAAATGATCACAAGATCATACAAAAATCTCCCACGCGCCATCCCAACTCGTTTTCTTCCCATTTGAAGAAGAACCACCATGCCCACTAGCTCAGCAACCCCACCGCTTGCTCCTCCACTTGGATAAACTCCTGTAGCCAGGCCGCCGTGGCTCTCCGCTTGTTCAGCTCCATCAACCGGTCCAACCGCTCTGGAGAGAACTCGGCGACCATGCGTCGGCCCAAGCATTGCCGTAACCTCAACCGATGCCATGCCGGGCCGCAGGAGGCTGCGCTGAGCCGTGCGAAACTCGCGTGCGCTGAGCCGGGCCCACGAAACAAGCGCGTTGCACGAAACCGGGCTTTCGGGTGCCCATCAGTTGGCACATGAAGGAAGGGGCCCGACCACATGCCCTTTCAGTGGTGAGGTCGTTCTTTTGGTCTCAGGGCTCAGCACAGGTAGAAGATTGGTCTAGTCTGATAAGTGCACCCACAAATGATGTGCGCTTCTTGAGCACCTTATTCAGTATGTTCATCCGTTCTGACTTCAAGTATGGCATCTCCATTGGTGGGAGTGAATCGGAACATGGAGTATTGGCGTCTAACCTGAAGATTGATATCAACAGAATTGAATCAAGTCACAACAACCACTCGAAGGGTGACAAGTCAAAAACCCAAGTCCTCTCAACAGAATGGTGCCCAATACCCGTCTCCTTTCTAGCTCACGACATCACTCAGGCCCCTTGCGTTTTACACTTGGCTTGTGCACTGTCCTGTGGTATGCCACGGGGTCAGAGCTTCAATGTCCAACTTGCCCTCCCCAATCAACCACAAGAGTGACAACATACTGTGACTGATACGAAAAAAGTCGGTCCATCCAAGAGGATCCAAGTGCTGCCAGTCGTGAATTTAGTTTTTTTAATCAGAGAATCCCTTGATCGAACATAGATGTCTAACTATATACAGTATAACTCAGTATACATACAAACATCTTGGAATCACAGCTTCTCCAACGTCCGCACCTGCCCCTGCAACAACGTCAACCAGCCAGCGGCCAAGTGGCAAAGCCTTGGTCAGCCAGAGATGTCGAATCCGCCGAGATCCGCCGGGACAGCCAGCATGTGATGTGTTGAAAGACTGGTGCTGGATCTGCCAGAATCACCGCACTGATGGAATCATTACCGCACTGGGATATAACACAGTCACAGCAAGTCATCTGTGACTTTGGCCAAAGATCTTAGTGGTGTTGGGGGATCGATGAAAATAGCCCACATCGTGGTGGAAATGCCAGGTGCGCCTGGAAAAATATGATGGGAAACAACATGAACGACTACTATTGGGAAGAAACCTTACAATACATTGAAAATTAACATCTATAGTAAACTTGGATCAACCTTACCTCCAAAAGGATTCCGAAAAAGGTGTTCCTCCTCATCTGTCCTCTTTCCCTCCTCCTAACGGTGTTGCTTGGGGCACCTTGGAGTGCCTTGGTATTTCTCGGACAGCAACTCCACCACCTGGCGCCATCCCGCTGCGGATCGGAGGCTTCACGGGAAGGATGGCGTGCCGCCGATCGAAGCTGCGGGACGTGGGGGTGGACGTGGGGAACGTGTCTCAAGCTAAAGTGATCAAGAATCCGCGATGAAGTACCGACATGAAGACATGCAATCTCCGATGTCCAAAGCTCACACCTCAGCAGCAGCCTGTGACATGGTCAGCCGGCTGTAGGTTGTAGCGGCTTGGCAGAAATTATGTACCTGCAGAGCAGGACTCCCGTCACCTACTCAGCCACCAACACTCGGCATCACCTGTTCAAAGTTTTCAAGGGAAAATCTTTTGAGGAGCGTGCCCGGTGGTTCAGTTGGAGGACAAGGTGCAACCAGGCATGGATGTAAAAAGAACCGAGGCGCGGCTGCATCCCACCAAAATCAATGCACGTTTGACTCTTTTGATACCTGGACATGCTAGACAATTACTATATGCATCATGGCTTCGGGCTCACATGACGGAGAACACATGAACAAGATTGAACAAGCTCGTCACAACAATTGCTAGTCACTAGTCGCCCCTTGAACCACTGCAAGCTGGCCACGCGCTACGGCACGCGGTGCACGTGAGAAGCTCAGATCCATCCAATCAGGAGAAAAACAGGCTGGATCATTTGATCAACAGCGCGGTGTGACTCGTGGCAGTCCCGATGCGGTCTGATCGTGAAGTCGAAGAAAAGCTGTGAGAGATGCCAGGTGCCCAGGCCAAGGCAGAGATCCGTGCTGTCAGCAGGGAATCCGGCACCTGCGGGGCAGGAAGTAGTCCTTGCAGATTACACGTTTATATAGGTGGACCTAAGACCATCTAACATGACCTCATGACCTAACCTTTCTTGTTGGTCGGACTGAGGACTGAACAGAAACCGCACTCTCACCTTATGACTCAGCAAAGACACTCACCTCATGAGATAGTTGGCCTCCAAGCTCTTGCGATGTTGAAGAACGGCCTCCGGCTCAGCCTCAAACCAGGTTCCACCAACGGTTGTCTGAAACAGCTAGAGAACAAATTTCATGGACTTAGCGTAGATGCTCAAGGTTTGTCATAACCACATACACACGACGGCCACGACTATCTATAAATATATATATATATATCGTTCGTCTAATAGTGTGAGGGAGCTTTTGTGTTGGAATGCAGGCATCTTGCGTACACCTGAAGGACCTGATGCACTCAACAGCTTGAGATGGAACTTAAAAGCTCGGGATGAGAAGTCACCCTACCTCGTAGATTCTCCCGCTGAGGACCCAGACCCAAGCATCATGTGAGGCCTGGGCCGAGATCAGGTCGATCAGGTCATTTGAAGAGTTGACATGGGAGGACCTGCCAGGAAAGGAACTGAAACAACCAAAGGTCCAGGTGAGGTGGTGCCAAGAATGCAGGACCAAGTACAGCAAAAATGGCCGTCTTGTAGCCTGTCGCCACCGTGGCATCTGTGCCATTCATCCTAGAAATCTCAAAAAATGATAGCCCAAGTCGAAAGAACCCACGCGCAGGATCCTAACGGCCGTCTCAAAAAGGAACCCAAGTAAAGAGAAAGAAGTGCTTTCTCTCGTTTTCGATCGCCACCTGGCGATCCCAAAACACCTCCGCCACCGCCCCACGAGTGCGAAGAAAAACGAAGGAAGGACCCGCCATCCACGGGCCGGGCCATCCACGTGCCGTTCCACGTGCCGTTCCAGGAAAAACAAGGCCATGACATCCCGGTGCGAACGGGTGTGGGTTGGGTGTGAATATGGAGAACAATCGGTGTTCTCTCGAGTTTCGGACCCACGGGAGGACGACGAGTTGGTGAGTCGAGTTCACCGGTGTCTCGAAAAGCTGAACGCGTGCGAAAGTCCTCTGCTCACATCATCCAGACTGCGCTAGACTTCTAAAGCGGATCACTCCGACACACGTTTATGTAACATGGAAACATAAGAACCAGTTCGTGTTCAGGAAAGCAGTCTTGCAAGGGGCCATGCCATCCAAAGTGTACATGTCTTCTGTGAAAGGGGAAACTCCTCCCGGTGCCTCCCTGTCACCAAGTGGCTGAAGTAGGTCGCTGTGCTGGTGGCGTGTCAGGTGCCTGGCATTGTCAGGGTCCCGTCAGTTAGAAAGGTCTAAGCCACGCAGACCCAGCATCAAGATCCAAGATCCATCAATCGTTTTTTGTTCACAAAAAGGCTGGACAACCAATTGGCTGGTCGTGATTCCTACCTGATCAGGCACACATGGTGTGGCTTCGAATTGTTTAGAAGTGTGGACAATCGACACAGGGAGAAGAACATTGCGAGCATGAAACTGCGAATTCACGTGATCCAGGCTGCACCTTCAGTGGAGCTCTTTGTGCCAAAGGGCTCTCCTGATACACCTGGCGCAAAACCAAAGAGGATTGAACTGTTCAGGTCAAGTGCCTTTGTTGGTGACAGCGCTGACAAGTCTGCGGTTTCCGTTTCAAAGCCACTGGCGCTGCCTTGTGGAGATACACTTTCGGGTACACCAAAGGAAGGTACAAACCTTGATGCTCAAGATCGACATCATCCATGGCTTTTGTTTGAAGAAAGTCGCTCTGCACACCCTAATTCAAACACTTTATATTGGTCAAGCTGCGTGGTTGCATACAACTCGAAAGCTGTCAACATCAAGCCAAAGGAATCGAGTCCCACTCGCCACTGGCACAAGGAATTTGATTGTGAGAAAACCCTGGCACTCCTCTGTAAATCTACTACAGGATGGATCAACACAATGGTCATTACAGCTTCCAAGGATCGGGACTTGAGATATCCTTCCACCAGGAGTAGTGGCCATTCTCGTAGTTGCCAGCCATCAGGGCCTGGTCATGGTGGAATGGAAGGTGACAGGAAGTCGCTAGCGGCCGCAAGCGGTTAGAATTTTTGCTTGCAGATGGAATGATTTTCAAAAGTACAGCAGTGTCCCGGGCTGTGCGCAGTTAGAATTCAATTCGAGTTTCCCGGCCATGCACTTGGCATATGGGAAAACAATACTTACAGTTCTGGCCGTGACTATATTGACATTCAGCACCAGTGACAGCGCGAGACAGCAAAGAACCAATCCAATGCCAAGCATATGTCGGGTGCTGTACAAATCTGAGCCCTTGCATTTAGCAAACTCTGCATTTTGTGAAAAAATGTTATAACATGTTATATCCACCTTGCTTGAGTTCCATTCAAATTACAACTCTTACATCCTCTTTCTAACCACATGCTGAGTGGAGCTGTTGCATCGGGAAGCAGCTAGACAGCTCGACTATGAGTAATTCTGGAGATCTGCATGGCTCACATGACATGGAGTTGTTTCTCTAAGAGCTGGCAAAGTACTGTAAACAAAGCATTAGGACCCAAATAAGACCAACACTTCTTGACCAACACTTCTTGCTTCTGGTTGGTTCATTTGGCCGCTTCTCCTCCGGCGCAGCTCCACGGCGACTCTCGCGCTCCGCTGCGACTCTCGCGCACCTTGCCAACGAAGGTGAGCTCTTCTCGTGCTGATGCGAAGCTGGTAAACCTGCGGTCCAATGAGTCACATCACTTCGAATGCATGAAAAAGTTATTTAAAAAGAGGTCCACAATCATCTCATCCACAATCCACAAGAACCTTGCAGGGTGCCTAGGAAAACAGGCGTCCCCCCAAAACGAAGCATCAAGAAATCCATTGACTTCATCACGGATCGTGGGGGGGGCCGCCATCCACTGCGTCTCATGGGCCGAGTGAATGCTATACGGGCCGTGCAGTGGGTGTTTCGAGTCTTCAAAAGCTTATTGAGGAGGTATATATATACCCTAAGGATCAAGGACCCTCAAAGGTGAAGGTTTTGAGGGTCCAAACCCCTGCTATGCAGGGTCAAAGCCCTCCATAGGAGGGTCCAATGATCCTTAGACTTAGGGTGTATATATTTCTGCATCTCAATGGTGGTATGCCAAGTATTAGGCCAAGTATGCCAAGTGGCAGCTCTGCCAGCAGCTTGGCCACCTTGAAATGGACTAACGGATCCTGAAGCAAAGCTGCTTGCGGGCGGCGTACGCTTTAACCTGTGTAAGTATGACCACTAAGGCTATGTATCTAAGGCTAAGGTTTTGCTTTGCTGGGCATAGCATAGTTCAACTGAAGATGGGAGATTTGTTCTCCACCACACGACAAAAATATAGAAATCAAACAAACAAGCAAACAATGGGATACCCAGGCTCAGCGCCTTCAATAGACATTAACCCACCATTACGCACGCACCTTCCTGTGGCTTGAGACCGGCTACATCTTCAGACTTCACTCGTCATCGTGTGGGAAGTTCAGGAACCAATGATTTGAGAGCTATTGGTGTTGTTTCATGAATCTGACCGGTGGTGATCGATTCTGGTCGCCAAGAATATAACCCACATCTACAAAACAATATCTCACAGGAAGCGTCCCACAAGGCAAGGGAACACAACTCTCACGAACCACATTGCCAACTGGCCGCAAGAAGCTGCAATGTGGGAATCTCTGGCTCGGGGACCAAAATATCGTCCAATCTGTGTGGCATACTGACCAAAATATGACCCACGGTCAAGCTTATTTACATGGCCTCTCTTCTCGCCTCGCGATTTAGCGAGCCCCCCTATCGTTTTAAAGTGTTTGCATGTTGTTCCTACAATGCCACCGCAAGAGAGCTCTTGGACTAGTCTTCGGGCCTTATAGAGGAGCGGTTTCCCGAGGCACCACCATGCAATTCTATAGGTTATCGTTCTGTTGTCGTACACACGGCCACAATTCAAGAAGCATAGAAAGTCACAAACATAGGTGTTGATTGTGAGTGTCCTACTGCTCTACAGTTTCTGTTCCCCCTCAGCACTTCCACCAAATCAGCGGGACATCCAAAAGGAGCTGCTCTTACAATAATTTAGAGCGGTGCTTCTTTTTTGTGGTGTGGGGCTTATACACTGGTTCTGTACCTACGCCGTGCCTACGCCTGGGCTCCCTTTACAGTATATAAACCTAATCATTTGCAAAAAGAACGTGGCGCATATGTCATCTACATTCATTTACCATATGTCACTTTCTCTGGTTCTAGTTCCAACCCCCCGTGGGGCGCCACCCAAACATGGACCCAAACGGCACTGCCTAGGGCACGGCCTTTTTGGGGCCTGGGGTGGCTCCGCTATGTGAGAGCCTCACATGGTTACAAAGGTGATTTCCGCATCCCGCTACGAGGTCCGGCCTCGGATCATCAGCGGAATCTCTCCCGATCCGATGGCTCGCAGGCCCGGCCTGCTCCGCGAGCATGGTCAAATACCTGCCGCCAAACCGAACCGCTGATGAACCGGATTTCGAAGATCGCCATGGCATCAGCGGTTCCGCAGTCCCAGCCCCGGCCAAACAAACGTCAAGAAGGAAACGACGCAAACAAACACACTGTGACCACTGAATCACTTAATCAATCTCAATCATACTTAATCCATTCTTCAGGTCCAAGCGGCTCAAGGCAAGGCTTCCGCAGGTTGAAATCGAAGCGGAATCCCAACTGCTTGGCTGAGTTGATCATCCAATCCTTAGGCCCAGTCTGTCTGGGGTTCGTTCCATTCGCGGCCCCTTGGAGCGATGACATTCCCGAAAAATCCCCCCGAAACGCCGGCGCTGAAGTGACTAGATGAACGTAGGAGGACGAAAAAGAAGGGTCAAATGCCATCCACTTGCCACTGACTCACCACTCTGTCTCAACCTGCGAGCCGGCGTCGTCATATGCATGACACCTATTTTAAGAGACAACTCTGCTATGGGAACCCTGCTGTGGGCAACCATGTTTGCTATCGGCTATCTGCTTAGTGCTATGCTATAAAGAATGTCCTCGGAAATCCGTCGAACTCTGGTTTTGCAGGGGTACTTTCTCAAGTGATGTGAGAAGAGCGCACGAATTGTGGCCTAATCAGTCAGGAATCCCATTGGTTGGTTGCTTTGCCTGTGGCCCTGTCCACGGATTCTTTTTTAATGATACGGCGACCACCGAGATCTACACGCTGGACTACAGCATGGTGCAGCTATGCTGAAAGCTAAATCAAAGCCTCGCACATCTGAAACCACACCCAGAAACACCTGAACAATAGCAACAAAAGGGAAGACACATCAAAGTATGATTCTCTCGTACAGCTACCTCAGGAGGGCATTCATTGTGAGAATCTTTTGAGGAGTGTTATTGCCTGATGAATATAGATAGAACTCATGATGAACTTAGTCTTCCAGGAGCACCTGTTCCACATCGTGTGGTATTTTGTCGCTTGAATCGCGGAATCGTGTGGAGTCCAATTGTGCGGAATAGTGCGGTGAGTTTGAAGTTCACATCACAAAGCTTTCGATTCAGTTCGCAAGAGCTGCTTAATACGTGGTGTGTTCCAACGTCCCACTACAGTAGTCACGGACAGAGGGGTTGCCAGCTCTGTAGGTCTTGGACAGCTCTGCCTATGCAAGCCTTCTAAAGCTTTCCCGTATGCGGGTAAAGCTTACCTTGTGGAATCCACGTGCATTGTCTACGCTGCATGCGAAAATACATGATAGTTATTTGCTTCTTTGTGGGTGGTGTATATAAAATACCTATCACTGATCACGAACATTCACTGACAATGAAAGGACCCCCCAACAGAATGCTAAACAAACAACGGGTTCCTCTCTTCCTCTCCGAGCGACAACAAGGAGCTGGTCAATCCAGTCCACAGACTTCTCCATATCGGATCGATACCTGCAAAAGGTGGGTTACTAGCGGCGTTACTACAGCCAATTCGGTTGGTTGAAGGTTGGTAGGTTGAAGGATTTCCATCTATGCACAGGCCGCAAAACTGCACACCAGTCCGTGATCTTGTGTCTGCACAGTGTGCTTCCTACGACCGCCTATATACGTATCAATGACTCCAAGCCAACTCCAGGGTCTGTCAGCGACTGACGTTGAGGCCCTTGTCCAAGGAAGAAAGTCATCCATGGTGCATGGCATTGCCTCTGCAACACTCACTACCCACCAAACCAGCCTCTAGCGGTAGCGGAGAGCAAGCAGGGTGACATGGGGGAGAAGCAAGGTTGATATGGGACCCAATAGAGGACCTTCTGAAAGTTCATTCACTAGCTAGCCGACTACCCTTTGCATGTGAGCATTTTGAACATTGACGATCTGTTCAAGCCAAACGACCTTGACAAACGTGACATAACGTGACAAACATGTCCGCTGGTCAATCCTGAGCCGGCCTGTTTTTCCTCCATTGGGCAGCCTCAGAGCGAGCAAGCTTGCTTCAGGCCCCTACAGTACTACGACGCAGGGACGGGTCCACGCCGAATGCTCCGCGCCGAATGCTCAGCTACAGGTTCCTTCGGATTCGTTCTGGGACACCGACCAACTGCAGACACAACTCCAAATGCTTGATGCCTTTGGCTGCCATGGCCTTGGATCGGAAGATTGCTTCGTCCGCCACGGTGACCGACGGACGGCGCCAAAACGGTGACCCGCGCCTTGCTGGCCAAGAGGGCCACCAAAAGTCGCAGTGTGCTGAGAGCCTCAGCGCTGAAAACACCAATCATTGGCTCATGGCATCCCGCTGCAAGCGGCCGAAGCTGAAAGCGAAAGCGAAGCCACCAGCTACAGCAGCTACGTACTCCGGTAGCTGAGGCCTTTTAAGCCCCTGAAGCCAGATATTTGACTTCTAAGGAGCCAGAAATGAGTTTAGATACCGTTTAGATCACCATCTTGAAGTGATTGTCGATGATTCGTTAACGACATGTTTGACGAATAGAAGCCATGAGCCTCGTCTCCATCTCTCCTCTTAATCTAGCCACGAACCAGTTCAAAGCAGGAACCCCCTCAGTGCTAGGCATCTTGTTCAGCACCTCGGCTGGGAATCTCAAAGCAAGTTTGCCGCGATTCTTGGTTTAAAAAATCCAAACTGTTGCTGTACTGTACCCTTGGCGTGCACAACATGTACTTACTGATGTTCGGCAAGATGTGGCAAGCCAACTCGATGTCGAATCTAAGAACATCAGCGAAATAGGAATCCCAAATTATTTCTGGCTGATGTATGCTCAGCTTCACACCATTTCTCAACTCTTGCATGGAAGCAGTAAAGTCTGCCTCTTTCATGTCCTTCGTCGCCCGCCAGTAGGCTGAAGTGCCGGGTAATGTGTGCGTGTGTGGCACTTGTTCGGTGTTCAGTTACGTTGGCAGGTGCTGAACTCGTATGTGAGCAGTTTAGCTCAACCGCTTCAACACAATAAATAAAACAGCTTAACAAACGGCCTAGCTTAGCTCTGTTTCAACAATGTGACGCATGATGAAGCATACAGCTGTTTAGATCTTGGCAAAAGCGCCGCTCAAACTGCTAAGCAGTGCAACACATTGCAACACAACCTAGTGATGCTGCAAGGCCTCTGCGCCAAAGCATCGCAAGGCTGCAGCCAGGTGATCTAAACCTCTGCATGTCTGGTTTTTTGTCTTCTTTTTGTTGGGGGCGGCGTGAAACAACAAGGACACAAAGACATCTCACATGGTAAAACAAGATGTGCTGGTAAAACTATGTCCAACTGGACAACCTGCCCTGGTGCTTCCAGCTTTCGCGGCGTACCACCCGACGTGTGGGTTCGTGTGGGTTCTGTCTTCGTGTGGGTTCTGTCGGCCGGAACATCGGGCGAGACGTGCCACACGGAAAGTGGGAAAAAAGAAAAACACGCGGAGTTTAGGACAGCGGAAAGCCTTGAAGGTCTAATTACCAAGCCCCCAAACACTCCATGGGACTGGCATATTGACCTGGGGTGGTTGTTTCAGGGGTCAATGTGGGCATATATTCCAGTCCCATGGAGTGTCTGGGGAGCTATAATTTAGAACCTTTCAACGTCTTCTTTCCCCTTTGTTCTTTGGCCTCCCGGACGGACGACACACCCTCGGCCGCGGCCGGTGCGGTCTTAGGGGCGAAGGCCCAGCGCCGCACCAAACTCCGCGCCGGTCCGTGGCCTCGATGCCGAGGCGGAGAGGAGGAGCAAAAGTGCCTGTGTTTGATAAGTCTGCGAATGGGTGGTGGTCAAGCACCACTGATAAGTCTTTTTTTATAAGTCAGTGGTCTGCGTTTGATCAGTTTTCGTTGTTTCTTCATTTCAAGTCTGGAGATGCTTTGCCACGTTCGCAGCCAGATGTTCGATTCGACCAGGGCCATTCACCAAGGTTGCTCTGTTTTTGGCAGATCTGGGTTGGTCTTTGAAATATCTCCCATTCTTTTGTGACCACTTTGGCATTGAACACAGCTTTTGTTCTATTGACCAGCGGACACTGGAGTTGCTCCTTCAGGACGCCTGGCTACAGTTCGTGAGCACTCAGGTGAATCACAAGACCATGTCTGGCCTTCACGGCATCAATAAACACTTGACTTGCACCATCCACAAACAGCTGACCATGCAAGAACAGTTGCGACTATCAGCTTTGCAGCGTGGGTCTTTTCTGACAACGGTGCACCAAAGCAAGTTGAAGCCAGCAAAAGAGAGCTTTGCGAACACTGTCAACAGCCAAACTCTCGTAAACGCTGGCTATGCCGCCCACAATGCCAGGATTGAGCAATAAGCTTCAGCTTGATTTGCCGGCCCTTCTGACTCTCCCAGAGTGCGCCATACATCATTTGCTTTTTCCTCAGACTGACTTGGAAAGGCAGTTTCGTATGAGCTTAGCTGTTCTGGACGACACAACCTGTGAGTTTTTCTCAAGTAGAACGACCTCGGAGACCCAAATGTTTGTCGATGGCTCCAGTGTAGCTTTGAACACTTGATGATTCATGATAATGCCTCTACTGGGGATGTGCTTTCCACACGTGTAGCCCCTGAATGGAGACAAACGGCTGACAGAGCCGAAGTCCACTCCATACTTTCCAATTGTGGCCTGCAAGTTTGGTCGGACTGCCAGCATGTGGCAGAGCAGCTGCAACGTATGCTCACTGTTTGGACTTCAAACATCCCGGAGAACAATGAGGACCTCTCGACACGAATCTCATGCTTGTTAGATGACCGCTGCCATTTGATCACTGAGGCTAGATGGATCCCCAGTCACCTTTCTGCGTCCCACATGGAGGACCCGATAGGACCGTTGGGTATGTCATTGGAATGCTCAAGCTGATCTTTTGGCTACAAAGCACAATAGCCACTGCTGTGACCTCGCTGCGCTGCTAGCACGCCGGTTGACACGTGAGATGGCTGAGAGTGAGCGCCTAGCTTTGCAGCTACGTGCCTTTTACATGCGTGTCGCTGATAGCACCATGCAAGCACGAGCAAGTGTAGACACAGTCCTGCAAGTAGTGGAGGCTCCCGAGGTCCTTACCGAAGGTTTTTCTGAATTTCTACCGGGATGGAAAGCTCAGATTGCTAAGCACCTCTCTGATGCTCACCACAGCTTCATTGGCCAGGTTGTAGACCAGTTGCAGACTTGGGATCTTGATCCTCAGCATTCCTTGGGTTGGTACACATTGAGGTTGCAGTTGATTTGATGTGTTTGGTTGGTTTTCTCTTTCCGGTTGACTTAAAATACAACGGAGCTGAGGTCGCTTACTTCATTTAGTGACCCCCTGAAGCGAATCCGGCCGATCGCTGCCAGGATCTCGATCGGTCACGGTCGTCCTTGCTTGAATCTGAAACGACCATCCCTGAGGATTCTCATGAGCAGGGGAGGGTATTTAGTAAAAATTTCGACTCGGAAGTGGGCATACAGCTTCGCGGCCGAAGGCCTTGTGAAGGCCTCTGCAACGAAGGCCTTTTAGGTCCTGCCAGGATCCTCGACCCGTTTGAGCACTTTCGCCGGACAGCGTCACCGCAGCTCTGCTCGTGCTGAGCTCGGTGGCATTATCAGCAGTTTTCGTTTTTCATGTCAAGTCTGCTATGGCTATGGGTGCTGTGGTCTGCGTTTTATGAGTTTCCGTTGTTGTTCATTTCAAGTCTGCTAACGGTGCTATGGTCTGCGTTTTATAAGCTTTCGTTGTTGTTCAGTTCAAGTCTGCTAGCGGTGCTATGGTCTGCGTTTTGAACGTTTTCGTTGTTTTTCATTTCAAATCTGCTATGGGTGCTATGGTCTGCGTTTTATCAGTTTTCGTTTTTCATTTCAAGTCTGCTAT